TCTCTGACAGTCGGAGTCGGATGCACGGCTAGCCATTTGGATCGAAGATCATCCTGACACGGCATCTCGGCACGCTCTTATATGGCTCGTGGGACGCTAGAAGCACCCGTGCCTTTCAACGTCGGCAACACACAGTTCTTATTCTACAATCACCGCTCATAAGCCTCGAGAGGTTAATGCCATGGGTCTCGTTCGCTTTGAATGACGTAGCAACGCGAGCTATCGTCTTGTGGTCTCATGTGCATACTAGTATTATGCATGTCAAGGGTATATAAGAGATCGCTTACATCCACTTGACATATATAACTTTGCTGTATGAATACGGGATGATTAAGACGTACTATGTCCTGATTTGCGATATGCTCGAGCGCTATTGAACGTATCGAGAGGCACGGCGAGTCGCCATATCGCTTTATTCAAAGTGACAAATGAACCTCTTTGCACCTTTGATCTCATATCCCCGTTCCTTGAGCCAGTTGGCGATAAACGCGTGCGCGCCGGTGGTGTTGAAGATGGCCCAGTACACATCATTCGCCAAGTTGACTTCCGAGACACTAAGATACGAGACCGAGCCAAGGATCGACGAGGACACGTAGCCAAGACCCAAGACACGAATGATCGTATACCCTCGCGGCATTGACCGAGGCTCTGCGTCGAGGACAGTAGGTGCAACTTGTGGCTTCACAACCACGGTTTGCCGAGCAAACGCCGGCCGTGAAAAGACTTTTAGATAGCTCGTCGACGACAGCTCGTCACGCAGGACCAGCCAGAGCTTGATGTCAAACGTGTAGTCGGCACCTCGGAAACGCAGCGGCAAGAGCCCCATGAGAACGCATGCGACGTGGTCGATGGTAAACTGGGAGGATCCCGACGTCTCGGTGACGATATAGGCTTGAGCTATGCCGCTTACGAGAAGGGACGCCTCGGTCGCAGCGCGCTTGGCGCCTCGCATCTGCAGCCACGATGCGCCCAAGCACACGAGCAAAATGCCTCCTTGGACAACGACAGCGGTGAGCGCACGGCTGCCACTACCGGTCGAGACGACGCCGCTCGAGCATGTGACTGCATAGTCCATATCATTGCCGACGCAGATGCGGTTTAAGCTTCCTGTGACTTGAACGGGGCTGACCACTTCAATGATAAAGAGAAGACCTGTTATCGGACACCGTCGGAAACTTCGACGGGGGAAGACTTGGTGCGCCTTTTCTCACAGCACTATTTATTTCACTTTGGTGTTGAAATGCGCTGTGAACTTAAAATGATAAAGAGAGTGGGCAACCTCGTGTGTCTGGCCATTGCGTCAAGCGAAAAACATTCGTTAACTTTTTATGGCCAAGAGATCGTCACCTCGATGC